TACCCTCGCTACTGCCCAAACCCTAGCCGCCTCCCTTCCTCGTGCCACTCCGCTTTCCCTGGACGTTACTTCTCCCGGACTTGAGTCTCAGGTTGCGGCGCACGACCTTGTCATTTCGCTCGTACCGTTTACCCATCATGCAGTCGTCATCGAGGCAGCGATCAAGGGAAAGACTCATGTTGTCACGACGTCGTATGTCTCTCCCGCGATGCGCGCATTGGATGAGAAGGCCAAGGAGGCGGGCATTGTCGTCATGAATGAGATCGGCCTGGATCCTGGTATTGACCACCTGTATGCGGTTAAGACGATCGACGAAGTTCATGCCAAGGGCGGCAAGGTGTGTACCCCGCCTTATCGTTACCCATGCGCCTAACTCCGGCACAGGTCAAACAATTCTTGTCCTATTGTGGTGGTCTTCCCGCGCCTGAAGCGTCGAACAACCCTCTCGGTTACAAGTTCTCCTGGTCGTCGCGCGGTGTTCTCTTGGCGCTCCTCAATACCGCAGTGTACTACGAGGCTGGTGAAGCCAAGACTGTTGCTGGCAAGGAACTGATGGGTGTGGCCAAGCCGTACTATATTACGCCTGCCTATGCCTTTGTCGCGTATCCTAACCGGTGAGTTGACTTCGCTTACCTTGTGGTATCCTGACTTATACGCCCATAGTGACTCGACTCCGTTCCGCGAGTGGTACAATATTCCCGAGGCTGAGACGGTCATCCGTGGTACGTTGCGGTACCAGGGATTCCCAGCATTCGTCAAGGCGTTGGTGGATATTGGGTTCTTGAACGATGAGAAAAAAGAGTACCTTGCCCAGGATACACAGATCAACTGGGCCGAGTTGACAGCTAAGACCGTTGGTGCATCCTCTGCTGACGAGGCGTACGTCTATACTCTGCTCATCCCCAAATCCTTACTTACATCTATGTCCCAGTGCAATTATCGGTCGCGTCAAGCAGCTCACGTCCTTCCCCGATGCGTCCGAGGAAGCCCGTATCATATCTGGCATGCGGTGGCTAGGGCTGTTTTCGACTGAGCTTGTCGCGCCTCGTAGTGGGAACTTGCTTGATACGTTTTGTGCGAGGCTGGAAGGCTTGATGGTGTATGAAGAGGGCGAGCGGGATCTTGTGATGCTTCAGCACAAGTTCTTTGTCGAGTGGGCAGATGGAAAGACCGTGAGTGCGATTCTAACAAGCCCACGCAACAATCTAATGTCACCTTGGTTGTAGGATATCATCACTTCTACCCTCGAAGCGTACGGCGAACGCGGCGGGTACAGCGCAATGGCTCGCACTGTCGGCGTACCGTGCGGTATTGCCGTGCAGCTCATCCTGGATGGCGAGCCAGCACTGTCGAAACCTGGTGTACACGCGCCGTATACCAAGGAGATTTGCGATCCGCTAAGGGAGAAGCTCGAGGCAGAGGGAATTGGAATGGTTGAGAGAGTGTTGTAACTAAGTGTGGAAGTTGAAGAGTGTATAGTTGGAGTGCCAGAGTTTAGAAGCAAATATTGAAATATAGTTATGATGATGTATTATCTGTGCCTAAAGCGAATTAAGTGTCTGAAAAAGGATAGATGAGGTTGGTTGCAACGAAATAAGATGAAAATTGCTTGGTCTTGCTTATAAGGCCAAGCCCCAATCCAATTGGCAAGCCCTTATAGCTCAGTGGTAGAGCGCATCACTCGTATAATTACGTAATGATGAGGTCTGTTGTTCAATCCAGCATGAGGGCAATAGTTTTTTTGTTAACTGGGACCCGTCGCATTCAACTTGAAACGCACGCTTGCCATTCCCGAAACCCTTACGCTCGAATATGTCGATTTCTCGGGGCTCGTGGATGCGCGCCAAAGCGAGAATATGGCTGATTTGTAGACTCACGGAACGCAGCGCAACTCACCCAAGCAGGATGAATTGTCCCCATACGGTCGACGGATATCATTGGTTGCAACAGTATGTACGAATGCAACATTGAGGGCAAGACTGTTATTGTTGTGCCAGTTTCAGCGACGTAACCAATAGGCTCACATAACATACTCACTTGTCACGAGCTGGTACACGGACGTCGTATGCTAGCTAACAGTCTTCTATAAAATCAGCAAACATAACTTGGCGCAAAAGTTTCCTTTCCTCCGAAGATATATCGCCTCCGTCCTGTGAGTGAGGCGCCTCAAGAATTTCCCTAATATTGTGTGCTGCGGTGCCC